TACATCATTTTGATTGAAGCTAAGGGCATACAAAACTGTCTAACATGATTGACCACGGCCCAATTGTGAACTTATAGGCAGTTAATTGAAACTGGAATACTGAAACTGCATTATGATGGGAAAATCTATGCTGCCGGAAAAACATGATACCAGAAGTGCTTTCACCAATCAAATTCCTTGGGTGAATTTTGATAAATAAAACCTAATTAGTTAACATTATTATGATACCGGTTGATTGGTTACAGGTTCTTTTTCCGATATTATATTTTTTTGGTATCATAGTTGAACCCTAAAAAATTATAAACTGAAAATTGAAGGAAATTTTTAAATAACTTACCATATAGAGAGAGAGCCTATCCAGAGAGTGTATGGCCCTCATGACCCCTCCTAAATACGCAGAAGATGCTACAGCCCACGTCTCACATTGGACCCCATCATGACAACATATAAGGACGAAACATGTTTGAAATATGCAACCGTTAGCGTCGTGTGGGCAGTAGAAGAGCATGAGAATCCTTGGTATTGTATAAAGGCACAAGTCGCGTACCCGATTCGAAGAATTTATACTGTATTGGTTTTTGAGTTGGGCCCATTGAAATTTTAACAATTTTCCAATTTGAATACACCCAAGTTGCACCCCTAGTATTATTGTATTAGATAGGGCAGTCGCCTGATTTAGGAGGTGTTGTACGGGTTACAGACTCCATGGACGTATAAGATCAGCATTCCTCAACTGAAAATCTGTTGAGAGGTGAATCAATTTGTTGATCAACAGAATGTCCAAATAAATATAATATTCTGGTAACTATGGTAATGTGAACAAGACATAAAAATGTATTACATTAGGCCCCGTGATTTATTATATGTCTCCTTTTAGGAGGCATCAGGACACATCAATAAATGGTTAGTAACATTTTTATTTGCCATTATATAAATGCTTGGTTAAGCCGTGTGTTTGGTTGGAATCAAAAGGTAGGGAAAGGTAAAGGAAATCATACAAGATTTGTACAGATTTCTTTCTACCTTTTTCTTCAAACCAAACACAATTTTAGTGGTCACAACTGTATGGTAAATGGAGGAGAAATGGCTGTAGTAAAACTAAAGAAAGGGGTTATAA